CGCCACTCCCCTCCCCACCCGGGGCCCTCCCTGCCCCACACCAAGTCCCACTTCCCTTCCTTTCCACTTGTTGATCTCATCCAGGATCCCTCCCCCGCTCCCCTTCCTGGGAACGCTGCCCACTCTGGAGACCCTCCAAACCTCCAATTCCTGAGGCCGATTACACCCGGGAAACTTCTGCCCTTCTGCTCGCTCACCCACCATCCCTCTCCCGGCCTCTCCCTCCAGGGCTGGGGTTCCTGAGGGTGTTGGAGGGGACAGAAACGGTTCTCTGACATTTGTCCATGTTTTGGGCCCTTCTGGTTGGCAGGGGAGGGTGGGGCCTGCTGTGGGACAGGGTGGGAGAGGCCAGCAGGGAGCAGGTCGTAGTAGGGTCCTGAGTAGTAGCTGGGAGAAGGTAGGGCTCTGGTTTGAGCAGCTCAGAACAAAGGGCTGGGAGGGGACTGGCGCTCGCGCTCTCTCTCTCTCTCTCTCTCTCTCTCTCTCTCTCTCTCTCTCTCTCTGGTCTGGTTTGAAACTTATCTGCGGGGGAAACACAATGGCATTAGCTTCCCTCCTGTGTGTTTGAAGTGGTGGTTTTGGTCAGAGGGGTGTGTGCGCGTGTGTGTTGGTGTGTGTGAGAGACTTCTTTATTGAGCCGCACCAACACCGGGATTTCTTCATACCACCTATTTTCCGAGTCTCAGAGGAAGTGTCTGGGGATTGGCGTGTGAGAGATCCTGGAGCCGGAGCATATTAATTGCTAACTTAATGACTAGCTGAGCAGCTTATAAAAGCACTGCTTTCACCCCCAGGATCCTCCCAGCCACCCCATCCAGTCTGCATCATTATTTTCCCTGTCTGCTGAACCTCCCCGACCACAAAGCACGGAGCAGTAACCTGCCCGTGGCCACAGAGCTGGCTTCTGGAGACAGGTCCTTGGGTGCAAACTCCAGACTTTTTTTTGTTTGCCGATGGCTGTGGCCGGTGAGAGGGTCTGGATGTGGACGAGGAGATGGAGAGTCTGGGTTCTGGCGGCTCTGTACCTCAGTGACAGTCCTTTTCCCCTTCCTGTCTCCACCCACGTTGGTCTGTAACCCACTTTCTCTCTTTGAACCTCCTGGTGAAATTCCCCCTTTAGGAGGAGGACAAGAAAGAATAGGCTGAACCAGTGTGGCTCGGCTGGTTGGGCGTGTCCCTCGCACCAAAAGGTTGCCAGTTGGATTCCAAGTCAAAGGCACCTGCCGGAGTTCAGACCTCGATTCCCGGTAGGGGGCGCGCAGGAGGCAGCCCATCAATGTTTTGCCATTTCTCCTCACATCAATGTTTATCTCTCTCTCCCTCTCCTTTCCTCTCTCTCTAAAAATCAATACAAATATATATATATATATATATATATATATATATATATATATATATATATATATTTTTTAAAGAATAGGCTTAACCATAGCAAGAGAGAGGCAGGGGAGACATCTAAATTACAGGGTCGGGCGGAAGGAGGTTGTTCATGTGGAAAATAATACAACCATAATAAACAAGAATAAACTCTGTTTTGCATACTCACAGCCATAAAACTACGTTTGCTCCACGCTGTATGTTGACTAAACCAGGAGAGGGGGTTCTCAGGAGGAGGGTGGAGGAGCCCCAGATGGAAACTGTACACAGAGCGGTGAACAAGGGCCCTGCTTGTGGTAAAGCTTTTAAAAAATATATATTTTATTGATTTCAGAGAGGAAAGGAGAGGGAGGGAGAGATAGAAACATCAATGATGAGAATCATTGATTGGCTGCCTCCTGCACGCCCCCCACTGCAACCCAAGCATGTGCCCTTGGCGGGAATCGAACCTGGGACCCTTCAGTTCTCAGGCCAACGCTCTATCCACTGAGCCAAACCGGTGTTTAGAAAGGTCAGGTTGGGTTAAGGCCTTATATCTCTGTCTCCAAGGTGTGTCTCTGTCACACACTTGCCTTGACAGGGGGATGTGACTAGACCACGGAGTGCTTCCAAGTAATCCGGGTAGGATCAGTGAATGGCCTTAGTTAGCAGCGATTCCATCTCCCTGCACGCACTGCTCTTTCCCTGAGAGTCAGAGGCATGCTTGTTTTTTTTGTTTTTTTGTTTTTTTTTAATATATTTTATTGATTTTTTACAGAGAGGAAGGGAGAGAGATAATAGAGAGCTAGAAATGTCGATGAGAGAGAAACATTGACCAGCTGCCTCTTGCACACCCCCTACCGGGGATGTGCCCGCAACCAAGGTACATGCTCTTGACCGGAATCGAACCTGGGACCTTTCAGTCCGCAGACCGACGCTCTATCCACTGAGCCAAACCGGTTTCGGCAAGAGGCATGCTTGTTTACTAGGTGCGTGTGAGTGACTTGCTGGGTGCCTACGGGAGGGCGGTGGATACTGTCCAGTCCCCGTTTGCAAGTTGGCGATGGTTTCACTTCATTGGGGAAAAGGTAGCCGCTAAGCAAAGCAAACTCATTTTTTTTTTAAAAAGCATTTCTCTCTCTCTCTTTTAAAACACAAGGTATTTTTTAAATATATTTTATTGATTTTTTTTTTTTTTTTTTTTTTTTTTTTACAGAGAGGAAGGGAGAGGGACAGAGAGTTAGAAATATCGATGAGAGAGAAACATCGATCAGCCGCCTCCTGCACACCTCCTACTGGGGATGTGGCTGCAACCAAGGTCCATGCCCTTGAATGGGATTGAACCTGAAACCTTTCAGTCCGCAGGCCGACGCTCTATCCCCTGAGCCAAACTGGTTAGGGCTAAAGCAAACTCATTTTATTGTAGTTCTGAACAATCGGCCTCTCAGCAGCCGTTGAGCTGGCTGATTTACCCCACGTAGGCTGCATGGAAACCCACTCCTCTGGTCTCACCTTCTCAGCCCTTTGCCTGCTCCCTTTCCTCTGGACACTTTTACGTATTGGGGTTCTCAGGGACCTCTTATATAATTCCCTAGGTGACCCCATTCATCCCCATGATCTTGAAGCCCCAGCTTCTGAGTCCAGCTCCTCTGAGACCAGCTGCAGGAGCTTCCATACTAAGCTCTCTGTTTCTGCTCTGCCCTCTTTCCATTCATGTCTGGTAGCTAAAGCCCTTTGCAGCCTTCCCGTTGTTTAAAACAGCCCACGAGCTCTTTGCCGGGCCCACGGGTCCCGTGATAGCCTGGCTCTGGGCTGCCTCTTCAGCTCCCATATGTTCCAGCTTCTTAAAACACAAACTACAGCCAGCTCCTCACTGCTGGCCTCCCCGCACGTGATTCCCTGCTCCATGGCTCCCTTTCCGCACTCCTGGTTAACTTCTGCTTGCCCTCAGGCTTACTAGGAGGTGTCATGTTCTCAGACTTTCCAGAGCCACCCAATTATTTTTTTTAATTTTAAAATATATTTTATTGATTATTTTCAGAGAGGGAGAGGGATAGAGAGTTAGAAACATCGATGAGAGAGAAACATCCATCAGCTGCCTCCTGTACACCTCCCACTGGGGATGTGCCTGCAACCAAGGTACATGCCCTTGACTGGACTTGAACTGGGGCCCCTTCAGTCCACAGACTGATGCTCTATCCACTGAGCCACACTGGTTAGGGCCAGAGCCACCCAGTTTAAAGGAGCCCCTCCTCCCCAGAGTTGTCTCTCATAAGTTCTGGTCTTCTCTGTTCCTCAGTCTATAGGTAGTCATTTATACTCCCCGGTTTTCTGGCTCAGGGTACACCTGCCCCATCAGACTGTAAAGGCGGGGCCCGTTTCACCCCTGGATGCCCTCTGTGCATAGCTCTTCGTAGGGGCTCAAGAGAGAGCTGGTGACGCGGCGAGTTTAGCTCAGGCATAAGCCCTCGGTGCATGCTGATGATGGATGGGGTCGGGGTCAGAGGGGACGGTAGACTGTTGGGTGCTAGAGTAGGAGGGGGTGGGCGGCGGGGCTTCTGAGAAGGGCTGGGGGCAGCTCCGAAGTGGGAGCAGGATTTGGGTGAGAGTTGGGAAAAGGCGGGAAGGAGAGGTCGTTGTCCTCTGCAGAATTAAAACGCGCACGTGTAGGGGAAAGATGCTGCCCCTCAGCCCACAGAGGGACAGATAAACTCACCATCTGGCTCACTTCAGGATGTTTGGCCTTTGGCCTGAACCCTCACTGCTTGCCGTCCCTCACCCCGCCCAGGACATAGGTGCACACACACACACACACAGACACTCAGCCTCCAGGGAAGCAGCCGTCCTGACCCGGACCAGAGCTGTAGGTGTGTTTGATGTGCATCCTGGGGAGATGGTGTCAGGACAATAGTCCTAGACAGCCCCCTGTGGGCAGACCCGGAGCGGAGAGGTGGGGCCATGACTGCAGGTGAAGAAGAGGCCTGGGCTGAAACCGGTCAGGCCTGCGGACTGAAGGGTCCCGGGTTCGATTCTGGTCAAGGGCATGTACCTTGGTTGCAGGCACGTCCCCAGTAGGGGGTGTGCAAGAGGCGGCTGATCGATGTTTCTCTCTCATTGATGTTTCTAACTCTCTATCCTTCTCTCTTTCTCTCTGTGAAAAATCATATATGTGTGTGTGTGTGTGTGTATATATATATATATATATATACACATAAATATATATATATATATATATATATATAAATAAATAAATAAAGAGGCCTGAGATAGTTCCCGGACAGGAGCCAGTTGCTTCCTGATCTCTGCGTTGGTCTCTGTTGGTCCAGCCTGTTGGCCTGGCCAGCCCTCCCCTCCCCGAGCCTCAGTTTCCCTGGCTGAGAATAGGACAGCACTGCCCTGGGTCTCCCCTGCAGGGTTGGGTCACCCTGGGAGGCCTTTGCTGGCATCCTCCTCCGCCCTGAGCCCGCGGCACAGTCTGGGGAGGGGCTCTTTCCCGGACGCAGGGCAGGAGGCCCTGGGCGTCCGCGTCTCAGGCGGTGGCCGGGCACACAGCTCGCTGCGGCTGCTGTTCGGGGTCTCTTCCTTTGTGCTGACCCCCCAGGACCTCCTACCCCTAACAAACTCTCTGCCTTCTCTCCCCCTAGGGGCCGTCGCTTGATTTTCTCCGAGACAAGCCCACCCGTCCAGCAAGATAGAGTCCCTCAGGGTGACGGTTGACTTCCTGAAGGTGCCCTTCGGCCTGAAGAAGCCGGTGCTGAAGGAGGTGGCGGTGGGGCCCCCCCAAAGGCCCCAGCCCGCGGCCCTGGAGCGCTACAAGGCGCGGCGTTCCGACGCCATGGACACCGAGTCCCAGTACTCGGGCTATTCCTACAAGTCGGGCCACTCCCGCAGCTCCCGGAAGCACAGGTGACACAGGTGGCCCGGGGCGGGGGGCTCCAGGGGGTGGGTACGCTCCAGCGGGGGTGGGCGGTGGGGAGGGGGTGGGTGTGAGTAGACCCAGGTCCTCCCCTTGACCTTCTGTACCTGTTCCCCCTGCCTCTGCTGCAGGGACCGACGGGACCGGCACCGCTCGAAGAGCCGAGACGGGAGCCGTGGGGATAAGTCGGTGACCATCCAGGCTCCGGGGGAGCCCCTGCTGGACAATGAGTCCACACGCGGGGATGAGCGGGTGAGTGTCGGGGGGCATGGGGTGCAGGTTGAGTGTTTCCAGGCTGACCCTTGGCGAAGCTGGAGGTCCACCAGAGGGGAGGGCCTGGCAGGAGGACCCAGATCTGTCCCAGGGTCAGACACTGTTTCAGCGGAACTGAGGGGATTTCAGTAGAAATCCCGTTGGGAGCAGCCGTCTCTTTATTCCTCATCCTCAGAGAGGTGGGGGTGACCGAGGCTGTGTAGGGGATTCCCTGCTTCCTCTGGCCAATGCTGGCCAGTCTGGCTCCTGGGAATGTAGAATGGGAGGGAGGGGCCTGGAAGGGGCCTGGGGTATGGGGAGTCCTGAGTTTTCTTTGAAGCCTTAAGGCTAGGGCCCTCTGGCACCCTCTGGTGTTGGCCTGTAGAACAGCATCGCCTGGGTGTTGGGTAAATGGGATGTGGGAGGAGTGGTTGGAGAAAGGGGAGGGAGGAGAAGTGAGGAGGCCAGGGTGTAGAGCCGAGGCTGGGAAGAGTTCTCCAGGACATGGATTCTCCTGCTTTAACCTTTGTGGCCCGCTGTGCTCACCTGCTGGGGAGGTCAGTGGCAGGACACAGGGCGAGAATAGGCAGAGCTAGGATGTGAGATGACTAGGATGCCCATGTCTCATTCCTCCTCCTCCTCCTCCTCCTCCTCCTCCTCCTCCTCCTCCTCCTCCTTCTTCTTCTTCTCCTTCTCCTCCTCCTCCTCCTCCTCCTCCTCCTCCTTCTCCTCCTCCTCCTCCTTCTCCTTCCTTCTTCCTTCTTCCTTCCTTCTCCTTTTTTAAATATATTTTATTGATGCCCCTGTCTCATTCCTCCTTTCTTCTTCTTCTTCTTCTTCTTCTTCTTCTCTTCTTCTCTTTCTTCGTCTTCTTCTCTTCTTCTTCTTCTCTTCTTCTTCTTCTTCTTCCTCCTCCTCGCCTCCTCCTCCTCCTCCTTCCATCCTCCTCCTCCTCTTCCTCCTCCTCCTCCTCCCCTCCTTCTTCTGCTCCCTTCTTCCTTTCTTCTCTTCTTCTTTCGTCTTCTTTCTTCTTCTTCTTCTTCTTCTTCTTCTTCTTCTTCTTCTTCTTCTAATATATTTTATTGATTTTCCACAGAGAGGAAGGGAGAGGGATAGAGAGCTAGAAACGTTGATGAGAGAGAAACATCAACCAGCTGCCTCCTGCACCCCCTGCACCGGGGATGTGCCCGCAACCAATGTACATGCCCTTGACCAAAATCGAACCCGGGACCCTTCAGTCCACAGACCGACGCTCTATCCACTGAGCCAAACTGGTTTCGGCCTCTTTCTTCTTGAGAGCATCTTATGGGGCAGAGGATTCCCAGCCCCCTCCCCCCTTTTTTTTCTCTCACAAGAACTTGTGGTGACTGACATTGGGACTTCCTGGATCTTGGGGACAGAGCAATACCAGATGCAAATGCTTTTTCTCCCTCTTCCACAATGCTGTCTTCTCCCGAAACTTGGCCTCCTGCGTTCTGGAAGTGACGTGGGCCTCACAGCGGTGGGGAGCAGTTCCCAAGCCTTGGTCCTTGGGAAGGGTAGGCCCTGGGTCTGAGTGAGGAGTGGACCTGCCTCTTGAGCTGAAAGTGGCCAGTGCACCCACTTTCTCCTTTCAGGCCGGACTCTTCTGTCCGTGGGAGAGGAGCCTCCTCAGCCTCTTGGTCAGGGTCTCCGTCTTGTAACTCAAGTCCCTGGTGGAGGATGTGACTCTGTGCCCCCAGCGGTCCAGGCGTGGAGGGCATGAACGCTGTTCCACTTGTGGTCCTGGGCTCCTCTGTGAGATGGCATGTAGCCCCTTCAGAGAAGCAGCTTGAGGGGATCCCCCTCAGGAAGGCATCGGGGGGGCCCAGCCTGTCCACCCCCTTGCCTCCAGGAAGGGGCAGCCCCTGTGCTGTGGGCATGGAGCTGGCCGGGCAGAGCACAGAGCCAGAGCAGTCCTGGTCTGACCATGTCCCCACACCTCCACCAATCATCCACCTTCCCCTCCCTCTCCCCCCTTTTCCTCACCACACTGCTGTTGTCAGTCACTCCCTTGTCAGAAGCCTCGAGTGGCTCTCAGTGCCTGGAGAATAGGTGTTTCTTTTTCTTTTCTTTTTTTTTTCTCTTTCTTTCTTTTCTTTTTTTTTTTTTTTTAATATATTTTATTGATTTTTTTTTTACAGAGAAGAAGAGAGAGTGATAGAGTTAGAAATATTGATGAGAGAGAATCATCGATCAGCTGCCTCTTGCACACCCCCTACTGGGGATGTGCCCGCAACCAAGGTACATGCCCTTGACCGGAATCGAACCTGGGACCTTTCATTTTGCAGGCCGACGCTCTATCCACTGAGCCAAACCGGTTTCAGCAGAATAGGTGTTTCTTGCTTTGCCTGGTATTGCAGGTCTCCCATCTGCTTTGTCTGGTGAGCGTGACCTCAGGTCCCAGTCGCTGTCGAGCATCTCTCCTGTGCCCTCTGCTCTGAGGGAACTCTGTGCGTGTGAAGTTTTTGCTGCCCCGCTGCCCAGTGTGGAGACCCCCCCAGGCCCAGGTCTCAGGTGTCCTCTCCTTGCAAAGGCCCGGCGTGGCCGCAGGGCGCTCAGTCCCGCCGATGGCTTCGTCCCGGCTGACTGCCTTCCCTTCTTCCTCCCTCCCCTCTCCTCCCGTTCTCCTCGCCCCCCCCGCGGCTTTCAGGATGACAACTGGGGGGAAACGACCACCGTAGTCACCGGCACGTCGGAGCACAGCATCTCCCACGATGACCTCACGCGGATTGCCAAGGACATGGAGGACAGCGTCCCGCTGGACTGCTCCCGCCACCTGGGGGCGGCCGCCGGCACCACGCTGGCGCTGCTGTCCTTCCTCACGCCGCTGGCCTTCCTGCTGCTGCCCCCGCTGCTGTGGCGGGAGGAGCTGGAGCCCTGCGGCACGGCCTGCGAGGGCCTCTTCATCTCCGTGGCCTTCAAGCTGCTCATCCTGCTGCTGGGCAGCTGGGCCCTGTTCTTCCGCCGGCCCAAGGCCTCGCTGCCCCGCGTCTTCGTGCTGCGGGCGCTGCTCATGGTGCTCGTCTTCCTGCTCGTGGTCTCCTACTGGCTCTTCTACGGGGTGCGCATCCTGGACGCGCGGGAGCGCAGCTACCAGGGCGTGGTGCAGTTCGCCGTGTCGCTGGTGGATGCCCTGCTCTTCGTGCACTACCTGGCCGTGGTCCTGCTGGAGCTGCGCCAGCTGCAGCCCCAGTTCACGCTCAAGGTCGTGCGCTCCACCGACGGGGCCAGCCGCTTCTACAACGTGGGCCACCTCAGGTACCGGCGCCCGGGGGCTGGCAGCGGGGACCGCGGGTGACGATGGGGCCGGAGGTGCTGGGCTGGCAGGGCCCAGTGGGGAGGAGTTCAGCACGTGGCACATAAGAGTGTGTGTGTTTGACAGTGTCCGCGGCCTGATGCGCAGGGTCCTGAGACAAGATGGGGTGAACAGGTGGACAATCGGAGATCTTGGAGAGGGGTGGGCCCGAGAGGCGGAAGCTGTGGCCCAAACAGGCTTGGGGGAGCCACCGTGCTATTTCTTTTCTTTTTCTTTCTTTCTTTCTTTTTTCTTTTTTTTTTTTTTTTTAAATATATTTTATTGATTTTGTACAGAGAGGAAGAGAAAGGGATAGAGAGAAACATCGATGAGAGAGAGTCATCGATCAGCTGCCTCTTGCACACCCCCTACTGGGGATATGCCCGCAACCAAGGTACATGTCCTTGCCCGGAATCGAACCCGGGACCCTTCAGTCCCCAAGCCGACGCTCTATCCATTGAGCCAAACCGGTTCCGGCGGCTGTGCTATTTCTTTCTCGGAGGCTCAGCCTCCTGTGATCGCGGGGTGAGTGGTCCCTGCGATGAGGTGGTCAGAGGAGGGCCCCTCGGAGCCAAAGATGAGGAAAGCGCTTCAGCCCTCCCCTCCTGCACTGCGGGCAGGACGCTCCCTGGCCACGCAGAGTGTCAGGAGCCCTTCCTGATCCTGTAGGGAATCTCAGGTGGGGCGGGGGGGAATCCTGAAAGGGGTGAGTGCCCCTCGGCTGGGGACCCAGGCCCAATGCCCTTTCTCCCCTGGGCTTCAGTACGGCAGGGAAGGACTAGGAGGCCCAGCCCTGGGGAAGGCGTGGGAACCCGGTAAGTAGACCTCAGGCCCTGAGCCAGGCTTCCTGGAAGCAGCTTGTCCCTGTCCCGTGTCCTTTCCTGCCCTACCAGCCTGCCCTGATGTCTCCCTTCCCCTGCGCCCCTTGTCTGTCCCCGCTCCCTTCCCCTCCTGTGTCTCCCCCACAGCATCCAACGCGTGGCGGTGTGGATCCTGGAGAAGTATTACCATGACTTTCCCGTCTACAACCCTGCCCTCCTCAACCTGCCCAAGTCCGTCCTGGCCAAGAAAGTGTCTGGCTTCAAGGTGTATTCCCTCGGAGAGGGTGAGCGGCCCTGCTCCTCAGCCCTCCTCAGGACTCCAAACCACCTCCGCCCTGCTTCTCTCGCCCCCCTCCCTCCCCTGCTTTCTCCTTTCCTCGGCCCTGGTCCCAGGCTCTTCTGTTCTGTCCTTCGCCTCGACTCCAGGTGGCTGGTCTTAGCTGCTGATCCTCCTTGCTGTCCCTCTAGTCTAGGCCATGGTGTGTCCCCCCCCCCGGCCTGGCTCCTCTGCGTCTGCTCATCCGCCCTGGTCCTAAGCCCTCGGCTCTCTGAGCTCCAGGACCTCCTTCCCTGGCGAGGGACACGTGCAGAGCCTCCGCCTCCAGGGCCACCTTGTCTCCTGCGGGTCTCTCCCAGAAGTGGCCACCAGGGTTGGGAACAGGAAGTACGGTTGGGGGTGGTCACAGCCTCCTCAGAGGTGTCAGATCGCTGTCTCCAGACTTCCTGCAGCGAGAGGCTAGGCCATGAACCCAAGTGACCACCCCCTTTCTCTCCTGCTCCCGTGCAGAAAACAGCACCAACAACTCCACGGGCCAGTCCCGGGCCGTGATCGCCGCGGCAGCCCGGAGGCGGGACAACAGCCACAACGAGTACTACTACGAGGAGGCGGAGCACGAGCGGAGGGTGCGCAAGCGGAGGGCCAGGTAGGTCCCCGGGGGGCAGTGGGTGTGGGCGGGCTCAGCGGAGGAAGACCGTCAGGCTTCTGTGGCTGTTGGAAATAGACACGTGAGCAGTGGTGAGGGTGAGGGTGTATGTGCGTGCGCTGCTGTTGCCAGAGCCAATCACGATGAAGGCAGCTCTGTAGAACAACACACGTCTGTTCCCTCATGGTACCTGTGTCAGGTGGGCTTCGTTGGGCCTCCATTCAGGTCTCACAGGCTGACGTTTGAGCCTGGGTCGTCTGCCAGGCTCAGTGGTTGCCGGCAGAACCTTGTCACCTGGCAACTCACAACACGCAGTTTGCTGTCTTCTTGAGGGGCTCTCGAGCCCAGAAAAGCAGCTTTGAAAGGGCTCACGTGATACCATCAGGTCCACCATAACAACCTCGTGTTTTACTTACTTGTTTTCAGATGGTAGGTGAATCTCTCTTTAATTTTATTATTGAGAATATTATCCATCTCTCGCCCATCCCAGGCCTTCACCTGTTTATTGTCTGTGTCCATGGACCACGACTAATTTGTACTTCTCAGTCCCTTCACCTTTTTCACTCATTCCCTCAACTGCCTCCCACGTGGCAGCCTTCAGAATGTTCTCTGTGTCTATGAGGCTGTTCCTGTTCTGCTTGTTTGTTTATTTTTATTTACTTTTTAAAAATTTTTATTTTTATTGATTTCAAAGAGGAAGGGATAAGGAGAGAGAGATGGAAACACCAATGATGAGAGAGAATCCTTGATTGGCTGCTTCCTGCACGCCCCCTACTGGGGATTGAGCCTGCAACCTGGGCATGTGCCCTTGACTAGAATCGAACTTGGGATCCTTCAGTCTGCAGGCCAACACTCTATTCACTGAGCAAACCCCGCTAGGGCTGTTTATTTTGATTTTTAGATTCAATTGTTGATAGATATGTATTTATTACTATTTTATTGTTCAAAGTTTATCTTTTTTTTTCTTTTTTTTTTTTCTTCTTTTTAAAGAAGACCCTTTAACATTTCATGTAATACTGATTTGGTGGTGATGAATTCCTTATAACTTTTTTTTTTTTTTTTGGAAGCTCTTTATCTGACCTTTAATTCTAAATGATAATTTTACTGGGTAGAGTAATCTTGGTTATAGGGCCTTGTGTTTTTTTTGTTTTTTTGTTTTTTTAATCACCTTTAATATTTCTAGCTACTCCCTTCTGGCCTGCAAAGTTTCTGTTGAGAATTCAACTGACAGTTGTATGAGTGCTCCCTAAAAGCAGATAACTAACTGCTTTTCTCTTGCTGCTTTTATGATTCTCTCTTTGTCTTTAATATTTGGCATTTTAATTATGATGTGTCTTGGTGTGGGACTCTTTGGGTTGGGTCTTTCTGCACTTCCTAGACTTGTATGTCTGTTTCCTTAACCAGGTTAGAGAAGTTTTCTGTCATTGTTTTTTCAAATAGATTTCAATTTCTTGCTCCCTCTGTTCTCCTTCTTGTACCCCCATGATGCGAATGCTGGTACACTTGAAGTTGTCCCAGAGGCTCCTTACACTATCTTTATATTTTTGGATTCTTTTTTCTTCTTCTTCTTCTTTTTAATATATTTTTATTGATTTCAGAGAGGAAGAGAGAGGAAGAGAGAGATAGAAACATCAATAATGAGAGAGAATCATCAATTGGCTGCCTCCTGCATACTCCTCACTGGAGATTGAGCCTGCAAGTTACAGAGAGGAAGAGAGAGGGATAGAGAGTTAGAAACATCAATGAGAGAGAATCATCGGTCAGTTGCCTCTTGCACACCCCCTCCTGGGGATGTGCCCGCAACCAAGGTACATGCCCTTGACCGGAATCGAACCTGGGACCTTTCAGTCTGCAGGCTGACGCTCTATCCATTGAGCCAAACCAGTTTTGGCTGTTTTAGTTGTAATCTTGACGTGGCAGTGAGTATTATGTTTATCTATGTTTTCATATTGACTGATTACTGGTCTAATCTCATATTATTATATTTTTAAATACTGTCTATTGATTTTTTTTTTTTTTTTAGAAAGAAAGGAAGGAGAGGGATAGAAGAGAGATAAAAACATGGATGAGAGAGAAACATCATTGATCGACTGCCTCCTGCATGCCCCAGATAGAGGGCACAACCGAGCCTGTGCCCTGACTGGCAATCAAACCGGTGACCTCTTGGTTCATGGGTTGATGCTCAACCACTGAACCATACCCACTGGACCCAGTGTTGTATTTGAAAGTCAGTTGATTTGACACTTTAATTTTATCCTCAAAATGTGCTGATGTTATTGAATCATCGGGAGTGGGAACCTGGCAGAGGGGGATGGGGGTACCTTTGAATTCCACCTATTGCAGTGGGCCAGGGAGCAGTGAAAGGCTCTGAACCTCCCCTGCGACAGCAGGGACTGAGGCTGAGAGCTCCTACCAGCAGATCTTGAAAGTTTGCTCAGCAGATGGTACATTTGTTACCTGCAAAAATGAGGGTCTGCTTCCTTTTTCCCATTCACATTATTATGTGAATTTAAGTCACACCTGAAGAGTCTTTCTTGCTGCCAACTGCTGTCAGGTCCCACCTGGGTCTGTCTGACGCAGGCGCAGCAGGTCTCAGGCCCTTCCTCCCATTCGATCTCCAGGCCGCAAGGGAGGAAGAGAGCGCTTGGCCTGTCCTCCCACAAGCCTGGCGCCCTCTGCACTAGACCAGAGGTCATCACCCCACTTCTGCAGCGTCTCGGTGTGTTTCCAGGTGTAGAAGGCGCTCTCATGGAAGGAAACTGGAGACGTCCCCTGCTCCCTTACCTTCTGCCTTGCCTAAGGGTCTTCTCCACGGCCACCCCCAAAGGGATTCTTTCCTTCCCCGTTACCGGGGGTGTGAGCAGAGGAGTGCTTTTCCCCTTGGTTCGCCTGCGACAAGAGGGTCATTTCCAAAGGAATTTGACTGAGACCATTAGGAGGAGCGAAAGAATAAACAGAGGGACTGCCGATGTACGCAAATAACCTGCCAGGGTGCACAGGTTTACTTAGCCCAGGATCCCGTTCTAAGCTATTTGAAGGGCTTCCCAATATTGGTGTGTCTCCCTCAGCTTTTAATGCAAATTGGCTTATTTTTCCCGTTCCCCTTTAACACTGTTTCTTTAAAAAAATTTTTTTTAAATTGATTTTAGAAAGGAAGGGAGAAAGATAGAAACACCATTGATGAATGAGCAAGAAACATCATTGATTGACTGCCTCCTGCATGCCTCACACTGGGGATCAAGCCCACAACCTTCGCATCCATGGCCCGAGCCATGCAGAAGTACCTCCTGACTGGGAATTGAACCCATGACCTCCTGATTCATAGGTCGATGCTCAACCACTGAGCCACACCAGCCAGGCAACACCATGTTTCTGAGATTCACTGATGTTGCCTAAATATTCAACGTGTACCATACTATCTTTGCAGAGTAGTTCATTGAGTCCACACAACATCCTAACCAATATTTGGATTATAGTCATCTTCCTAAGTTTTTTTTTTTTTTTTTCATTTTGTTGGATAAGTAATGTCTTATTTACATTTTAAATATCTCTAATTACTAGCAAGTGATTAATTCATAAAAATTTTTTTTAGCCTTTTAGGCCTTTGGCGAATTGTTTGTTCATCTCCTTTGCCTGTTTTTCTGTAGTGTTTGGCCTTTTCCTTCTTGATTTGTAGCAAATTCTTTACATTCCACCCCCATCCTCTGCCCCAAGAGATTTTCATTAATGTTGTCCATGCTTAGAAACCATCATTTTGGTGTAGTTGTATCTATTAACCCTCCTCCCCACCCCCCAGCCTCCCGCTATGAAGTGTGATTTGAGCATCTTATTTAAGAAAGCTTTTCTTAGCGTTTGCTGCAATGCTGGTCTTTCCTGTAGCACAGTTCTCAGTTGTCTCTCTGGGTTTGACATTGGAATGCTCTCTGAGTCCCGGGGCTGTGCTCACTGAGCTCTATAGCTGTCCCCTGTCCCCAGTGGGGAAACGCCCCCCCAACAGCATGTGCTTATGCGAATACACAATCCCCGAAGCCCAGCCCTAGGCTGCACATGGGGTCCTAATGCTTCCTCAAGAGCACCGAGGCGTGAGCTTGCTCTGGCTGCTGGAGGGCTGGGGGGGGGGGGGGGTGGAGATGAGAGGTGGGCGTCTGCTCCAGACCCGTCCCGTCCCCCCTCCCCCAGGCTTGTGGTGGCGGTGGAGGAGGCCTTCACTCACATTAAGCGGCTGCAGGAAGAGGAGCAGAAGAACCCCAGGGAGGTGATGGACCCCCGGGAGGCAGCCCAGGCCATCTTTGCATCCATGGCCCGAGCCATGCAGAAGTACCTCCGCACCACCAAGCAGCAGCCTTACCACACCATGGAGAGCATCCTGCAGCACCTGGAGTTCTGCATCACACACGACATGACACCTAAGGTGGGCCTGCTCCTCCCAGCATCCTCTGCTTCCTCTAGTGCTGGCAATTCTTCCCAGCTCACTTTCCCATATTCTCTCACTTCTTTCTTTACTCTCCCTCTCCCTCTCCCTCTCCCTCTCCCTCTCCCTCTCCCTCTCCCTCTCCCTCTCCCTCTCCCTCTCCCTCTCCCTCTCCCCTCCCTCTCCCTCTCCCTCTCCCTCTCCTCTCCCTCTCCCTCTCCCTCTCCCTCTCCCTCTCCCTCTCCCTCTCCCTCTCCCTCTCCCTCTCCCCCTCTCCCTCTCCCTCTCCCTCTCCCTCTCCTCTCCCTCTCCCTCTCCCTCTCCCTCTCCCTCTCCCTCCTCCTCTCCCTCTCCCTCTCCCTCTCCCTCTCCCTCTCCCTCTCCTCTCCCTCTCTCCCTCTTCCTCTCCTCTCCCTCTCCCTCTCCTCTCCCTCTCCCTCTCCCTCTCCCTCTCCCTCTCCCTCTCCCTCTCCCTCTCCTCTCCCTCTCCTCCCTCTCCCTCTCCCTCTCCTCTCCCTCTCCCTCTCCCTCTCCCTCTCTCCCTCTCCCTCTCCCTCTCCCTCTCTCCCTCTCCCTCTCCCTCTCCCCCAACCTTCTTATAGTCTCTTCTCTCATTTCTACCCCATCCACCCATCTCTGCATGGGCTAAAGTTCTTAGTGGTGAGGAGAAGAGAGAACTTTGGGACCATTTGGGGAAAGGTTGAGTCTCTTTCTCATCTCTAGAAAAGCACTGACATTCCCAGATCTAACACCCCACGTTCACCCCTTCCCTTCCAGCAGATTTATTTTTGTTGTTGTTGCTCTCTTTGAACCATTTTGAGCCATTACCCACCCCTCTGCTTTTTGCCCACTGCCTAGTCTTGCTTCCCCTGAGCCATCCTTGGTGCATGGGTGGCTTAAGATACTGCACTTTAACCAGGACACCTCCAGCTTTCTGCTGGTGCAGACCTGCCCGTCCCTGAGCATGGCAGCTAGGTGGAGAGAAAGGAGGAATGCGGAGGGCTTGCCTGGATCATCCAGGGTGTGAGGGGGAAGGGCAGAGCATGGTGTTAGGAGAGCTGAGCTCCAGGCCCGACCCTGCTGAGCCACATCACCTCTGTGGGCTTCCGCTTCCTCGTTTATAAAGCACGGGTCTGGCACAGACGGTCTCAGCCTTCCTCCTGCTGTGACATCCTGACACCGCTGAGTGCCCGGTGAGCTGGGGCCTGCTGGCTGTCTTTGGAAGCGGAGCCCCGGGGTGTGCAGGATGGCGGGTGGGTGGGTGGGAGAGCTTCTGACTCGGCTCCCTCTCCCCTTCCCAGGCCTTCCTGGAGCGGTACCTGGCAGCCGGACCGACCATCCAGTACCACAAGGAACGCTGGCTGGCCAAACAGTGGACCCTGGTGAGCGAGGAGCCGGTGACCAACGGCCTTAAGGATGGCATCGTTTTCCTCTTAAAACGCCAGGACTTCAGCCTGGTGGTCAGCACCAAGAAGGTCCCGTTCTTCAAACTCTCCGAGGAATTTGTGGACCCCAAGTCGCACAAGTTTGTCATGAGGCTGCAGTCGGAGACCTCGGTGTGACCGTGTCGCAGCAGGGGGAGTGGGAGACGGGCTCCGGGGGCGCTGGGAGGGGCTGGGCGCTCAGGTCCGGCCCCGTTCCTGCAGCCCTCGCCCTCGCGTGTTTGGTGTTTTTTTTTGTTTTGTTTTTTTTTACTTGAATGAACTTACCCCTACCCTGTCTCCTCCCCTCTTCGGCCATCCTGGAGAGACCATCCTGCTGTCATCAGTACCTGGGAGGTTCCCTCTTCTCTGCCCCCCTCCCTCTGGTACCTTCCCAGGCCCTGCAGGAATCAGTGCCTCTCCCCCTCCCTCTCCTTTCTCCTCTCTCCTCTCCTCTCCCTGGATGACTGTCTTTTCTGAACGTGCACAGGGCTCTCCTGAGCCCCCACTCTCGAACCCAGGTTCTCGTGGCTGTTCTTCCCGGCGGCTCCTGATGGGGATGCCTCTGGGGGGCACAGACATGGCTGCAGAGAACCATGGTGCCAAACCCCTCCAGGGCAGCAGCTTCCTGAGACCTCCCGACGGCAGACGGTCTGCCCCTCCTGCTGCTCACTCCCCTGCAGCAGATCCCTAGTTTCTGGGGCGAGAGCAGGCCTGTGTCCTCCCCCCACCACCCCAGAGTTAGGGGTCCCCCTGCCAGAGCTGTGAGAGCCTCCCACATCCGGCCATCCATATTCAGGGCAAGGGATGATCCCGTCTTCACCCTGCAGTCTCCGCCGTCTGCTTCTGACATGTGACCGCGGGCAGCCTGGGACAGACACCATCTGTGACCTCCTTTCCCGGGTCCCCTCTGTTTAGGGCTCTTTCCTGGGTAGCCCCTGAGGGAAGGGCAGGAGAGACATCTCAGTGGGCCAGGTTCCCCTTCCCAGCAAAGGATGACCCGGAGACTCCAGCACAGAATTACCTGCCTGTGGGCCCCGCCCCCGCCCTGGTGGTCTTAGGCAAACACGGTTCTTCCTTTCACCGGCCACCTCCAGTCTCGCTGTCTCTTCCTTCAGCTCCAGAGACCTGTTGTCTCACCTCTCTCTTGGGGGGAGCCAGCTGCTCCTCCTTGTCCCCTGCCTTAAGTCCGCCTCTTTGTCTCAGGGGTCTCTCTCTTCCTTGGCTGGCCAGGGTCCCCTCCTCTCCTCCCTCTGCCCGGTTCTCTGGGCTCTGGCCTCCCTCTGTGTTGGGGTGAAGGACCAGGATCGCTGCCTTTTGTGGGTGTGGAGCCCCTTTACCCCGTGTAGCTCTCACCGTCCTTGCACCCAGTCTGAATTCTTGAGAATTTCCATCTCCTTTCGAGCAACATGTGCTGGCCCTCTACTGCATAGATTCAGTGTAAATCTGAGCCTTGAAACCATGTGGTTTTAGCCAGGGGGTGGGTGGGGGGGAGGGACGCATCCAGATACCTCCAGCTGGGACCCACGTGGCAGACCTTTAAGGTGGCTGGGCGGAGGGTGCCTCTGGGTCTTACCCTCCAAATACATCGCGGTGCCCCTTACAGGCCTGTCTTTCCCCAGAAAACTCACTGGCCGTTGCCTTGCAGAGAGCCGCTTGGGGTCAGATCCTGGGCTTGGGGGAGCCTAGCGACTGGCATTTCTCCTGCTGTCCTTTCTGGAAAAGCACATCTGCCCCCTCCCCCGTCCCCCTACCCACCACCACCACTTACTAAGCAAGGGCTCTTCAGCCAGGGCTGACCGAAGGCAGGGCCCGGGGTTGTGGACAGACCTGAGGGAAGGACGTCCACTCCTGGGGGTGCCGGTGTTGGAGGAGCGCCTCTGGGTCACATTTCTAAATACCTCGCTGTCCCGGGAAACGGGCCTGGATGGTGACCGGGGCCATTGCCGCCGGGGGCAGGAGTGGGGCCGTGTGGTGTGAGGGTTGCGTTGGAGAGGGAGACGGTTGGGGGTCTTCGTTGCCGCCCCGGGCTAGGGGCAGGGAGTGTTTATTTTAAGAACCTGCCATGTGTTGAATCACTGTGATTTCTTCATTCCTTTTTCCTGAAGCAAAAAGAAAACCCCTCCGTATAAGCACTAAGGGCCGCGACTGAGAATGATAGTGTTTGGGCCCTTTGCGTCAGAACTGTGGTATCTTTCTCTTCTTGGATGACGATTATTATTTTTTAAAATGTCGGGACGGATCGTCACGTGCGTGGCTGTGTGTCCTTCCTTCTCCTCCGTGGGAGGCTGTCTTCATGCTGTGAATTGCCGTGGGGCGTGCAGCTGAGTCCCCCTGAGCAGTGTCCTTCCTGTCTCGTGTCCCGTCACTCATTCTTCCCGGTGGGGGTGTGCCCGCCTCTGCCCCCACCCCCAGGGGGCGTGTGGCTGGGTCTTCCTATGACTTCATGGCATCCTGGTGCCGCCCCTTCACCCCTCCTAGGCATTCCTTTTCATCACTTTGGAGCACATTCCCCCTCTCCCCTACCCCTCCCTACCAGGACACTGTGCCTCCCTCCTCCACCTACCTCGCCACTCTGCGGCTGTCCCCATCCGTCCCTTCCTCACTCTTCCTGATCTGTTTATTTCCCTGTAATCTCTCATGCTTCTTCCCACCCCCCACCATTTCAGCCCTTCATTTCTTGGCGCCCCCCCCCCCCCCCCCCCGGTTCCTTTTACAAACCCTGCATTGTGCTTGTCATCAAGCATTGGAGACATTGAGTCCCTGACCTTCTCAGCTCACACGCCATTTTCCAGAGTTTGTGCTTCTCTGCCTGTCAGTCTGTCTTCTCATTCCTCGGCTCCCCCCACGGGCAGCGCCTGCTGCTGGGCTTCGTCCTGGTGTGTGACTGTTGTGATTCCTCTGTGTGCGGAGGAAGGGCCTTTTTGAATCCCTTCCAAGTGAGATTGTAAATGTAGAATTTTCTACTGTGGGATCTAGATTTTTTTTCTTTTTTCCTTTTTTTTTTGGGTGGGGGTGTGTGTGGGTGGGTGGGAGGGTTACAGAACTGAGACCCTGTGCATGCATGTAGAAAATTGTAAAATGTAAATTTTTTTAATATATAAAATGCTTGTTTTTACAGTTTGCAGTGAATCTAAACATTATGGCAGTTTTAGGGATTTTTTTTTTCTTAACATAGAAACTAAAACTGTACAAACTTTTTTTAAAAATATAAAATAAAGACATTTGACTTTTGTGGGGGCATTTTGTTGTCTTTCTTTTTTTACAGAGAGCAAAGAGGGTCAGGCCAGAGTGGATATGTGTGCTTCTTGTTAGGGAACGGGTAGGTCAGGAGGGGGCAGTGTGAGCTCATTATCATTCCATTGTTTCTCAGATGAAGGAACAGGAATTGTTCTCTCCGAGGAGAGGCAGATGGGGATGGGTGGATGGTTGTTAGCATAAGGAGGAAGGAAAGATCCATAAGAATTTCAGGGAATAATTTATTTTAGTCAACAGTGACTAAAAATCCCTGAAGTCTATGTCTTATTTCTAAATATCTTATTTCGACCATTATCTCTTCAGTCTTTCAGGCACTGCACGAAAGAAAGTATAGCAATAGTCATTTATTTAAAACTAGAGGCCCAGTGCATGAAGTTCATGCATAGGGGAGGAGGGGGAGTGTCCCTCAGCCTGGCCTGCACCCTCTCCAATCTGGAACTCCTGCCTGCTTGATCGCTCCTAAATGCCTCTGCCTGCCAGCCTGACCCCCCTAACTGCTCTCCCCTAATGGCCTGTTCCCTCTAACTGCTCTCCCTAACTGCCCCAATTGCTCTCCCCTGCCAGCCTGATCCCCCTGACTGCTCACTCCTTCTGACCTGATTGCCCCTACCCACCTCTGCCTCAGCCCCCATCACTGTGGTTCTGTCTGGAAGGATGTCCGGAAGATGTCTGGTCTAATTAGCATATTGCCCTTTATTAGTATAGATGAAAATATTCAGTTGGCATTGCACTTATCTTCAAGTATCAGAATCAGCAAGAGGCCAGGGCCTTTCAGCTCCACCAAGACCCAAGCTTCTCTGTGACTTTGAGCAAAATACTTAGCACATAACAGCTTCTTAAGGTTAAAACAAATAAGCAAACGTAAACTTGACTGGAGTTGACCTGCTTCCTAGGTTCAGTCTTCCTCTTCCCACCTCATGCTTTGCCAGGCTTTGAGGATGCAGGGACAAGAAATGCGGTCCTTGTCCTGGGGGAAGATCCAGCTGATAGGATGCGGCAGACCCAGTGACCTAAGGTGAGGCCGTGGCCTGGTCACAGGCAGGGCACAGAGGAGCGCTGGCTGGACAACAAGGAACTCAGGGAGCCTGTCTTCAAGAAATTTAAGGAATTTTAGAATCAAGAGGGGGCAACACAGGTTCCTTGAAGGGGATTTGTTTTATTTACCTAAGACTTCCTAGCATTTGTACCAGTTCTCCACATACAGTTGGTGCTTAATAAGAAAATTGTTGGGCCGAAACCGGTTTGGCTCAGTGGATAGAGTGTCGGCCTGCGGACTGAAAGGTCCCAGGTTCAATTCCAGTCAAGGGCATTGGTTGTGGGCACATCCCCAATAGGGGGTGTGCAAAAGGCAGCTGATGGATGTTTCTAACTCTCTATCCCACTCTCTTCCTCTCTGTAAAAAATCAATAAAATATATTTAAAAAAAGAAAATTGTTGGATGAATTAAAAAAACAAACAATACAATAGGGATGTGTAAAAGGGATCATGTACTTCTTCCTTTACAATTGTACTCCAGTCTTTCTCATATGAAAACAAATAAAATTAACTTCCCTCGAAACTACAACCCCCCGTTCTTATGACTTTTCTTTATGTAACCAGGCTTATAGTTTCACTTACTACTGCTTTCAGTTTATCTCAAATCCAGCTTTTGAGTTATTGTGACCAAATTTCTAGCAGGCCTCTCAAATCATTCTTTCTCTTGACGGGCAAATAAAATAACTGCTTTCAGTTTAGGGAGTCTTTACTTAGCGCCTAGGATGTTCCAGCCTGACAGCTGGTGGCAGCAGGAACAGCACCAGGCGGAGTCAGATCAGATCTGGGGACTTCAGCAACCCTCGGTACATGGGTTCCCGCTAGGAAAGAATTCAGAGCCAAGATTCAAACTATAGGTGAACATCTTAATAATAAAAGTGTGATATGCAGGTCGAACAAACGGCTGAACAGTGGAAGGACCATCCAGACAACTGTGCTATGACACCCACTGGCGCCAGGCCAGCCCAGGTGGGTGGGATGTGATTGGTTGGGGGGGGGGGCCCTGCCATTGCCCCATGACTGCATTGACTGGTGGGCTGTGGCAGGTGGGTGGGGCCTCCCTCTATGGGGTGATCAATTGCGTGGCTTCCAGACTGCGAGAGGGCTCAGATCCCCCTCCCTCACCCTTCCACTGGGCCTCTGTTTATAAAATCTCAGAGGTAAAGAAGTAATTCATAGAAGAAATGGGCTTAGGAAATACACTGAGTGGCCAGATTATTATGATCTCTGAACACATGAAGATTCCTAGGTGCAGTATAATGTATATGTTAGAGGCCCTGTGCATGCCTGGCCAGGGAGAGGGGCCAGGAGCGGTTGGCCAGCCTGCCTGCTGGTCGAACTCCTGGTTGAGGGGACAATTTGCATATTAGCCTTTTATTATATAGGATATACACTGAGTGGCCAGATTATTATGCGTCCAGAGATCATCATCATCTGGCCACTCAGTGTAAGTTACAGAGGCAAAGGGAGGGCCATAGAGCTTGGGGGTGAGGAAGACAATGGTAATATGTCATGGGGAACGGGGAAAGGAAAATTGCAGGCAGGCGTGCTCCCGGGAGAGTGAGCAAGCTGGATCTTCCATTCTAGGGGTTCAGGGTGGAGATTTTAGGGGAATCCCCGGAAAAGATCTTCATAGAATATTCAGCAGTTTTCTAGGTGTGTCCTTTCACGGTTGTGGTCTCCACTGATGGATTGGTCTGTTCCAGGGCAGAGGTCATTAGTCATCACAGCTGGTCCTGAGGTTAGCCGTGGTGTTGCTTGTCTGTTTTTGCTGCCTTTCTGGGCCTGGAGCTGAAATGCAACTGAGGCCTAGACGTTATCTTTAGAGAGGAAAAGGTGAGGGTGTCCAAACCACATGACTAGCGATATGCTAGGGGAGGAAGAACCTACCCTAAATTGTGCATTGCTAGGCGCCCAGGGTTGTCCATTCTGCTGACTTTCTGTACCTGGCCCATCATCCCTGCTCTGCTCATGTCTAACTGCCTATCACATTACCCCCTCAAGGATCTTGGCTCTGAATTCTGTCAGAGAAAAGGGGCACAGGTTTTCTTCTGTAACTGCTTCCTGCTGAAGAGGGATGATATTTTCCTTCAGAGCCAAGAGATCTTTCCTTCCTTCCTTCCTTCCTTCCTTCCTTCCTTCCTTCCTTCCTTCCTTCCTTCCTTCCTTCCTTTCTTTCTTTCTTTCTTTCTTTCTTTCTTTCTTTCTTTCTTTCTTTCTTTCATATATTTCATATATTTTATTGATTTTTCACAGAGAGGAAGAAAGAGAGATAGAGAGTTAGAAACATCAATGAAAGAGAAACATCAATCAGCTGCCTCCTGCACACCCCAAACTGGGGATGTGCCCGCAACCAAGGTACATGCCCTTGATCAGAATCTAACCTGGGACCTTTCAGTCCACAGACCAACGCTCTATCCACTGAGCCAAACCGGTTTTGGCGAACCCTCAACTCTTTGGTGCACAGGGCCAGTGATCTACCATTGAGCCACATTGGCCCGGGCTAAGAGACTTCTAATAAAGTATATGGCGTTCACTAATAGCTTTAAGTGTATTTCATAGCTTTTTTGTAAAAGTTGAAACTGTAAAGCTTCTAGAAGAAAACACAGGAGAAAAGCCTCTTGTCATTGGTCTTGGCAATGATCTATTGAATTTGACACCAAAAGCAAAGGCAACAAAAGTAGAAAAAGAGAAATGGAATTACATCAAACTAAAAAGCTTCTGCGTAGCAAAGGAAACAAAATGAAAAGGAAACCTATGGAATGGGAGAAAACATTTGCAAACCATCCACCTGATAAAGGATTAATATTCAAAATATAGCCCTGCTGGTGTGGCTTAGTTGGTTGAGCATCATCCCATGCACTGAAAGGTCACCAGTTCTATTCCCAGTCAGGTCACTTGTCCAGGTTGTGGATTCAATCCCCAGTTGGGGTGTGACTCCCACATTAGTGTTTTTCTCTCTTCCTCTTTCTCCCTGTTTTCTTTTTCTTTCTTTTAAGACACACCAACATATATGAGAAATTACCAAAACTCAATAGTAAAAAACCAAATAACACAAATTTAAAATGGGTAAAGGATTGGAATAGACATTCATTCAAAGAAGGCATGTAAATGGCCAATAAATATATGAAAAGGTGCTCAACATCACTACTCATTGGGGTAATACAAACCAAACCCATAACGAGATTTCATCTCACACCTATAAAGATGGCTATACAAAAACACAAATCCTATATAATAAAACCCTAATATGCATATTGACTGAACAGTGGAATGACCAGTTGCTATGATGTGCACTGACCACCAGGGGGAAGACATTCAATGCAGGAGCTTCCCCCTGGTGGTCAGTGTGCTCCCTCAGGGGCAGCACCACTCAGCCAAAATCCAAGCTCACAGCTGGTGAGCACAGCGGTGGCAGAGGGAGCCTCTCCTGTCTCAGCGGCAGTGCTAAGGACCAACAAGCCAAGCAGTAAGGAGCAGTGAGCATGCAGGCAGCAAGGAGTGAGGGATCCAGGACTGCAAGAGGGATCCCAGACTGTGAGAGGGATATCCAACTGCTGGCTTAGGCCAGATCCCATCCCCTACAGGGTCCTGGACTGAGAGGGCACAGGCTGGGCTGAGGGACCCCCTTCCCCAGTGCACTAATTTCATGCACTGGGCCTTTAGTAAAAAAAAAAACAACAAGCATTGATGAGGATGTGGAGGAAAGGAAACTCCTCTCCCTTCCACTCTGAAATCAATAAAAAAATAAAATTCATGGATGAACCTGGAGGATATTATATTAAGTAAAATAAGCCACACACACACACACACACACACACACACACACACACACATATGCATACAGGGATGCGCACATGCACACGCCCTAAATAATAATATGATCCTACTTATATGAGAAATCTAAAAGTTAAACTTATAGAAGCAGAGAGTGAATAGGGGTTACCAGGGGATAAGTGAGGGGGCGGGGAGCGGGGAGAATGCAGATGGTCTTGGTCAAAAGATATAAAATTTTAGTTTTATAGGAGGAATAAGTCCCAGAGAGCTATTGTACAGCATAGTGTGTCTATAGTTAACAATATTGTATCCTATACTTAAAAATTTGCTAGGAGGACAGATCTTATGTTAAGTATTCTTAACCCACACACAAAAATTAAAAATTAAAAAGTGTAGAGGGAAACTTTCAGAGTATATGGATATGTTTACAGTATTGGTTGTGGTTGTGGTTTCACAAATGTATACTTATTTAAAACATCAGTTATATGCATTAAATATGTAATTTTGGCATGTTAATTATACCTCAATAAAATGTTTCTTTAAAAAAAGACATTAAAATATATTGAACCCACAAAACATTATGACATTCTTCTGAAGGGAATGGTGTAAAAGAAGGGAATATGAGAATTTGAGCAGAGGAAAGGCAGGAAATGATAAGAAAGCTGGGCTCAGACAATGTATCCTCTTCTCTCGTATTTTCTGAAGGTTTGTGAGAAAAGTTGTTGGTTCGGGAGAATGTAATTTAACAACAGCAGCAACAATAGTTAACATTTATTGAGCACTTTTATGAACTAAGCACTATGCTGAAGGTGTCGGGTACATTATCTTATTTAATTCTCACACAATTTTATAACACATTCATTTCACTTATTTAAAATATTTGCCGAACATTTTCTATGTCCTAGCTACTGTGTTAGGTGCCAGGGAAACAGCGATAAATAAAATTATTATGGTCTCTATTCCAGAAAAGTTTATGGTATAGTAGGAGAAACTCACATTACTATAAGCCAATAAAAAGAAATATGTTTTGCCATATGATACGTGACATGGCAGTGTGACAGAAAAATGGGGAGAGCACCCGGATAGGTTCTTTAAGAAGGTGACCTACATAAGCTGAGACCTAAAGAATGAGGAGGAGCCGAGCAGGATGTGAATAATTCTCCCTTAAAGAGCTCTTTCCTTTAATGGAGGAACTGACAGAAGACCAGGGAGGATAAACAGAGACAGCGGTGGGAGAGTGATAATGGCTGAGGCTGGAGATGGGCCAGAGACCATCCAGGGCCATGGAGATGCAATTTCATTCTGAGTGCAGGGAGAAATATTGCAGAGTTTTAAGCAGACCAGTGAAAGATCTGATTTATATTAAAAACACGACTCTGGCTGTCTTTTGGAAAATGGGGTAGAGGGAGGGAAGAGCAAAACTGGGGAGAGTTGTTCAGAGTTTATTGCAGCCTTCCAGGTTAGAGATGGTAATGACTGGATAGAGGATGCTGGTGGAAGATTTGTGGAGAAGTGGGTAAGTTCAGATATGTCTTCAGAGGTAGAGTCCAAAGGACCTGGTGATAGAGAAGCTGGAGTCAAAGGTAACTCAGGCTCCTGGTTTGAGTGATAGGGCTGATGTATCATACCCTCCTTTTTCAGTCTAGGACCGCGATCAGCAAACTGTGGCTCTCGAGCCACGTGCGGCTCTTTGGCCCCTTGAGTGTGGCTCTTCCACAAAATACCACGGCCTGGGCGAGTCTATTTTGAAGAAGTTTAAGTTTAAAAAATTTGGCTCTCAAAAGAAATTTCAGTCGTTTTACTCTTGATATTTGGATCTGTTGATTAATGAGTTTGCCGATCACTGGTCTAGGACCAAAGCTCCAAGAGCTTAGGTAGCATGTTCCAGGAGATATGTCCAGTACGTGATTTGAGCATGAGTCTACCCAATTCCAAAGACAACACACGTAATTCACACATTGTATTCTCTCCCAAGGTAACCTTGCTCATTTGGCTCGCACAGATCAAGAGACACCCATGTGTCACAATTCTGCTGCTTTCTAAAAGGAGAGAAGTGGTGGTCTTCTGGATTAAAGTCTTTCCATCAATCATAACTTCATTTGCTTAGTTGCCAAAGGGAAAGTCAATACCCAGGCATGTTACCTGAAGCATGTTTCGTCCTGGAGCAGATTAAAAATTGTTATTTTGATCACAGGCTGCACATGATGTTATTCCTTAACCCATTGTATGTCATAGGTGTCTGTAGATGCAAGCGGTGGACCTTCCCCACACGCCATGTGTGTCTATAAAGAAAAAATGTTTTCCCTAAGTGGCAGCCCTGACTAACTTTAAAATCATATTTTGTGAGAATTTTCAGCTGAAAATATTCAAGAACACCCAAATTGTGATATATATATATATATATATATATATATATATATATATATATATGATTTTATTATTATTATTTTTTTATTGTCTAAAGTTTTACATGTCTTCTTTTTCCCCAATTGACCTCCTTTCTCCAGCCATTCTTATCTCAGGCAAGCCCCCACCACCCCAGTGTCTGTGTCCATTGGTTATGCTAATATGCATCAATATATTAGTTTTTATAATATCCACTGCAAATTAAAAAAATATATTTCATTAATTTTTTACAGAGATAAAGGGAGAGGGATAGTTAGAAACATCGATGAGAGAGAAACATGGTTCAGCTGCCTCCTGCACACCCCCTACTGGGGATGTGCCCGCAACCAGGGTACATGCCCTTGACCAGAATTGAACCCGCAACCCTTGAGTCCGCAGGCGGATGCTCTATCTGCTGAGCCAAACCAGTCAGGGCTCCATTGCAAATATGGACATGTGGCAGTTAACCGGTGTTTGACCTAGGTAAGCAGGTTCAAGTCTGAAGGACTGGAAGTGATAATCCTAGATATTCAACTTCTGTTTTCAGGCAGAAATCCCGCTCTGTGCTCTCCCTTGTGTTCAGGAGAAGATGTGTCATTCCTGAATTCCTTTGAGACATTTCAGCAACTTAGACGATGTTGTCAAGAACTGTTACCCTGGAAGAAATGGGCTTACTTTAATGGGAAAAAGAAGAAAATGAAGTGGGTTAATAAGGACCAGAGCCTCAGGCCAGACTCCATGGCTACAGAGAAGGTCTGCAGAGCACCAGAGGGCAGATAGGAATATTGATAGATAGCATAAGAGAATTAAAACACAAGTAGGCTGAAAACATAGATATGCATGGTGATCTTAATACAACAAAACTTTTTAGATATGTTTTGGTGATATCCTGAGACTTTTTATATTCTGCTGGTATTATTCATCTATAAAATGGCTCCTTAACTTAAAAATATATATAAAATTTTTTATTAAATTCAGAGAAAAAGGGAGAGGGGAAGATAGAAACATCAATGATGAGAGAGGATCAGAGAATCATTGGTTGGCTGCCTCTTGCACACCCCCTATTGGGGATAGAGCCAGGGCATATGCCTTTGAAATCGAACCTGGGACCCTTCAGTCTGCAGGCCTATGCTCTATCCACTGAGCCAAACCAGCAAGGGCAAAAATGGCTCCTTAACTTTTGCTTCCTTGGTAAAGTCATAAGTCTGATGAGAGAGGTAAGAATGTAAGAACATGAGGCAATCATGGGCTTACCTGTTTGGGTTGACAAATTACGGAGTAAATTGTAGAGGAATCATTATTTTTCATAGGTATTGGGATTCCCGTTTTCTATAAAAAGGAATCATACTCATTTGACTCACACAGACAAAGAGATACTCATGCAAAGACATATTCCCAGAGAAAGGCAGTGTGCCAGAGTTCTCCAGGAGGAAGGCTAGGGAGTGCTTAGCAAGGGGAGCTGGAGACCAAACACCACCAGCTCTCAAACCTGTGACTTTAGTGGCATTTTCTGACCCCTAGACAGAAGCACACCCCAGCAAACCAGTGGGATCAAGAACCAAAGACCGAAGGGTGACTTTCTTAGCAAGTGTTGTGAAGAAAAGGAAACATTCTTGTCCTGAACCCAACTCCACTATCTTCTGTCTCAGATCTTTACTGGCTATACCTGGATGGTGCTGCCTGCTCTGTTTTATCCCTGTGGTTCTAATTGCCTGGTCATCAAGTCACTGGGTTCTCCTCAAGCAGGGGGAACTGGTAGGAGAAACATCTGGTATTCAGAGAGGCTCTGGCCAAAATCAATTTGTCTCAGTGGGTACAACGTCAGCCTGCAGACTGAAATGTCCCAGGTTCGATTCCAGTCAAGGGCATGTACTTTGGTTGTGGGCACATCATTAGTGGGGTATGTGCAGGAGGCAGCTGATCAATGTTTCTAACTATCTCTCTCCCTTCCTCTCATAAAAAATCAATCACTATATATATATATATATATATATATATATATATATATATATATATATATAATTTTTTTTTAAAGAGTGGCTCTGCTTGGAATACAAAATGTAGCAATAACAGAAGTCCCCTGTGCTCAGAAGTTTTGACATTTAAAATTAATTAAGAAATATATAGGGTGTTTTCAAGACCTCCAAAATTCTCCAAAGTACAATTTTACATTAAAGAAAAAGTTAAATTTGCAGATTAGTTTCTTGAGAGTGATTCATCTTGTCTTCAAGAGGAAATGGGAAGGACAATAGAAATATCTGAACAAGCCCTAGCTGGTTTGGCTTACTGCAGCGTTTTTCAACCGCTGTTCCGTGGCACACTAGTGTGCCGCGAGATGTTGCCTGGTGTGCCGTAGGTGCAGACAAGACAAGAATTTTATAATTTTTCACTATTTTGTTTACTTAATATTTCATAATAAAGTAATTATAAAATACTTTCTTTGTGTTTATTTGATTCCTATTCAAGAGAATTACTTTATATATAGTCAATATAGGCACAGAGTTAAATTTTTTAACATTTTCTAATGGTGGTGTGCCTCGTGATTTTTTTTCATGAAACAAGTGTGCCTTGGCCCAAAAAAGGTTGAAAAACACTGGCTTACTGGATAGAATGTCAGCCTGCAGACCGAAGGGTCCTGGGTTCGATTCCTGTCAAGGGCATGTACCTCAGATGCAGGCTCCTCCAGGCCCAGGCCCTGGTCAGGACTCGTGCAGGAGGCAAGCACTTGATGTGTTTCTCTCATATCGATATTTCTCTCTGTCTTTCCCTCTCTCTTTCACTCTCTCTAAAAATCAATGCAAAAATATCCTCAGGGGAGGATTAAGAAAAAAACAAAACCAACAAGGCGTATCTGAACAAGAGTTTCCTTTCATGTTCCCTTTCTTCAAGGAGCATTCTTTACAAATACCTGTGAGGGGTTGTATGAGGGACCAAAGGTTTCTAGCTAGACTATTGCTTCTATCATTTGGAGGATGATAAGTCTCTGGACTTGTTTTCAGATGACATAGAAACTGGCCTGCCAGGATGTGTTCTTTAGAATTGTACTTCTTGCAGGTGGTGGGGAATTATTCATGCCTGACCAAGGCCTTCTGGTTCTGTTGCTAGAGGGGTGGGGAGGATTGAGAGCTACTCATGTCTTCATTGCCCTCTGCTGTGAAGGGGCTGCAAATTCTTGTCCCTCATCTCTTCAGAGACTGCTGCGGAGCACTGCTATTTTCCCTGCCACAGATCTGTCTCCTCTGGAAACTCTCAAACTTAATGGAACTTTGATCCACTCAGCAAATATTTACTGAGCATCAGGCTAAGGCACAGGGGGAGAGAGAGGAAGACATAATTTTTTACTTTCAGGCAGCTTGTCATGAAGCTGAAGGGACCAGACTTCCTGATGCATGAAGCAGTTAGAGAGCAGTGTAGCGAAGGGTATGAGTAAACATTCCATTGGGGTGAGAGCGGTTGGGGCTGGAATGGTCCTGCGTAGAACTGTGTAGCTATCCATAGCCTTCTCCTCTCCTTAATGGTGTACGTCATTTGGATTAGTCAAGTGATTGTGGTGACATGTTTTTGAATAATGACTATAAAAATAATGCTGATGATGGAGTATAAAGTGGAAAGGACTCACCGTGTTTGGATGAGTGACCCGAGCGTACACAGTGTTCTCTGGGCAGGTCGGATCGTTCCCTGAGTCCCTCGGGGTCTCTGCTGAAAACACAGAGAGGCCCAGGCAATTGCAGAAGCATTCTCCCACGACCTGGCTTACCCCGGGCCACTTTCTGGCCCTGAAGATGCAATTGTTCAAGGCATTGCCATTCCTTACGGTTCATTCATTTTTGGCAGTCTTTGACATTCTGGGTTGAACCAGAAACTTCTCAATCATGTGATCTGTTTTTGACCTCATCTCTTGGGGGCACATAGCCTTGAGGTACCCTAAAGATTCAGCCTCCCACCGAAACCGGTTTGGCTCAGTGGTAGAGCGTTGGTCTGCGGACTGAAAGGTCCCAGGTTTGATTCCGGTCCAGGGCATGTACCTGAGTTGCGGGCACATCCCAAGTAGGGGGTGTGCTAGAGGCAGCTGGTCGATATTTCTCATCAACGTTTCTAGCTCTCTATATCTCTCTCTTCCTCTCTGTAAAAAATCAATAAAATTATTAAAAAAAAAAAAAAAAGATTCATCCTCCCGTTGAATTCACATGTGAGCAAGGAAGCTCCTGGGACCGAATAGTACCATGTACTTATGAGCTAGCGAACCTAACTGGCCAGGGTAATGGACCTGGATTATTTCACATACCTGTGATAAACCCTTTCAGGGGTCCTTACATTGGGTTTAATTATATTAGAGACTAGAGGCCTGATGCATGAAATTTGTGCAAGAGTAGGACTTCCTTCCTTTGACTGCTGGCACCAGCTTCCCTCAGGAACCTGGGCCCTAGGCTTCCCTTGCAGCCCTGGCTTCATCCGGAAGGACATCTGGTCTAATTAGCATATTATGCTTTTATTATTATAAATAAGGAACTGTAGGCTCAGAAAATTCAATTGACTTGGCACAAAATTATACAGGAAGTGACCAAATAAGGAACTAAATGCATACTTTCTGATGCCAAATCTCATGCCATTTACTCTACACATGACATCCTATATCTCTCCCCCAGGAAATGAGACTCAGTGCTGATCTGAGTCCAGAGTCTGCATCCCAGTGTCTCTATCACATTTTCTCTTTTGATTGTTTTTACTCAGTTCCCACACCCTGGATGAACAGAGTGATGGGGTCAGGCAGTTTGTCATTGGGTCTTTGATGCTCTCATCCTACACTTGCCCTGGACTTGCTGGGTGATAGTGGACAGGCCATGAGCCCGTTCACTGGCACTTAGTTTTCCATCAGCAGAGTGGGGAATGGCCCTAATCCCACTCTAAGAAATTGTGTCAGCGACTGGCCCACATGCTTGTAAAGGGCCCTGTAGGTCCTACAGGGGACAAACATGCACAATGACAGGTTCTCCCCTTGTGCCATCTGGTCCAACTGAGTAATGACATTCTGACTCCCATCTTTTCCAATGATCCAGCCCTCTGTCTGCCCTCTTCTTTTTCAATTTGGCTATTCCCAGCTGTTTTAGGGTTGGGAGTTAAGAGTCTAGAATCTCACCAGGACTCTGGGTTTGCTGAGTAGAAGAGCATAAGGAACCTGAAAAATAAAATCAAGTAAATAGAAACTTGTGACTGTAACGAGAGAGATTTTTCACCCTCCAGCCCCATAGGTGTCTCTATAGAATATGTGGTGGGAGGAGACCAGAAAGGGAAGGGCAGGCAGAACCTGGGGACCTACACTTCCCAGTAGGACAACGTCTCAGCAAATTAGCGGGTGTGAGGTTATACCCCAGGTGTTGTCCCAGTGGACTAGCTGAACCAGTATCGCATCCTCCCTCTTTTCCCCTGTCTTCCAAAAGGTAGGTAAAGGGAACCCCAGACTCTGAAACCTTGGAGAAGAGACATGTAAGAAGAAAGAAAACCTGATACTTTTTTCTTCCAAACAAATAAGGACACAAAGATACAGATCAAACAAGGCACTAGTACACTCCATATGATAATCCAGTGTTGATTTTTTTCGTTAAAAACACCTGAAAAGACAAAAAAAAAAAAGAAAAAAAAAAGAAAAAAAAAAGAAGTTGCACTTAGGACAATTGAGTAAGGTTCTGTGTTCTTCTCAGAGCCTACACTTAACCTCTTCTAGGCCACTTTTGGGGGACAGGGTGGGCTCATCTATACCCAGAAGCTCTGGGGCTCTGCGCAGGATTTCTGGAGGTGGGAGACGGGGCAGGACAGAGTTTGGTAGAGCCAGGAAAAGGCAACAATTCTGCTTTCCTAAGGATTTTGTTCTTGGGCTCTGAGTGTGTTGCAGGAGGGTTGGGGGAGGGTGGGGTGAGGGAGGAAGGTGAGATCTCTGGGGGTAGACATTGAGTGTCTGTCTTCTCCCAGTATCTTTGGCTGCCTCCCATTGGGCTGCTGTTTTGGGAATCATGTTAATCCCAAATTAACATGGTCATGCCACACCCTACAGCTGCTCAAGGCTTTGAGAGAGACCTGAGACAGACTCTTACCTTTGCAGAGACTTTGGACAGAGAGCGAGAAGGATAAATTGCTGACAGGATTCTTAGCTATGCAAGTGTATGTCTCTTCACTGGAATTCTTGGGGTCCCAAGAGATAGTGAGGTTTGCTTCCTCCAGAATTGTGTTTCCTGCGGCCTGCCACCTGAATGAGACATGATCATCTGGATTCTCTACAAAGCAGGTCAGCTGGATCTCACAGGTCCCATTCCCAAAGAGTTGAGTGTCATTAGCAACTTGTAAGTTCCTCAGTCGTTCTGTGTGCAGAGAAAAAACCCAGATTAAGGACAAATGGTTTGACTCAGCCCTCTGTTAAAAATGTCCTTCTCCTCAATGTTCCTGTATTCTTACCCGACACTCTGCTGTATGTTATGATCTACATACTCTGTAAATAACATTGTTTATGTTGTCTAATGGATGGGATCAAGGTCTGGGATGACCAAATGATGAGGGGCATTAGTGTGAGACAGAAAAGCCAGTGTGAGAAATGAAAAGTGAAAGACTGAGTTTGCCACCAACTAGCTGGGTCATTTGAGGCTGATCACCTTACTTTTCTGCACTTCAGTTTATTCTTGGAGTCCTTGATAGCCTTTTTTCTCCCCCTTATGTAAAAACAAGTTAGAGAGTAAGCTGAGGGTCAGGCCTACCTTAGCCAGATTAGAAAACAGAGCCAGGCACAAGAGTGCTGTTTCATCCATAATCAGAAATCCCAACTGGGGTGGAAGATGGAAGCTGATCTTCCTGGGGGAACTATACTCCCCACAAGTTTAGAGGAATTTTGGTCCTCATTGCAAACGATGCTGGCTCCAGTGGTGACTAAGAGACCCTGATGCAGAATGTCAGCAGGACAGAAAAGGACACGTTGAGAACCAAAACATTAGTGAAGAAACTGAGAGAGCAAGCACGTTATTCTGGCAGCAAAGAAGTACAATATGTTCAGGCATTTGAGAAAGCACTTACTGCAGAAATTTATGAGAACAGAGACCAGAAATATTGACTAGTGAGATATCAGTAGCTATGGATCAATGCGGACATGGGCACAGTACAGAAAAGGTCACTGACCTAGACTTGGCCTAAGATGACCCAGCAAATTACAGAATGACTCCAACTGTCTGATTAGAAGAGACAGAGTAATGCTTTAAGTTTAGTTAACTGAGTAGGACTAGTGGAATTTATCTTGCCATAATGGAGCTTTTATGTAGCAGGAAGAATGTTGGATTCGGAGTTAAGACTTGGGTTAGAATCATTACTTAGTTATTTAATGGCTACTCGACCATGACTACATTGTTAATTGTTTCAAGTATCTGTAAAACTGGGCAATAATACTTAGTGCTTAGGTCATTATGAGGGTTAAATAAGACAGAGCCTAGCACAGCAATGACAAATACTTGGCATAAATGTCACATCTCCCTCAGCCTTTGTTCATGGCTGACCAAAACGCTATATTATTACCTTTTTCCACTTGATGAATTCATAACCATCTACTTGACATTCCCACTTGGACATAACATGTATTTTCAATTCAACATGCTCAAAAGAACTCCCGTTCTTCTCTCTAAAACCTGTTCCATCTGCAGCCTTTCTCCATCTTACTCAATAACAACTTCATCCAATAACCAAGAATACCCAGAATCCACTACTTCCCCTGCTGCCATCCTGGTCCAAGCCAGTATCATCTCCCTCTCTCTCTCTTTTTTTAATTTAATATATTTTATTGATTTTTTGCAGAGAGGAAGAGAGAGGGATAGAGAGTTAAAAACATCGATGAGAGAGAATCATCGATCAGCTGCCTCTTGCACACCACCTACTGGGGATATGCCCGCAACCAAGGTACATGCCCTTGACCGGAATTGAACCTGGGACCCTTCAGTCCACAGGCTGACGCTCTATCCACTGAGCCAAACCAGTTTTGGCCAGTATCATCTCTTGTTTGGATTGTCCCAATGGCCTCCTTATTGGTCCAGTGGCTTCCACCTTTGTTTCTTACAATCTATTTGCAACAGAGCAGCCAGGAGATCTTTTAAGCAAGTAAGTCAAATCATATTACTTCTTTGTAAAACCCTCCAATGGTTCTCAACCTGACTGAGATTTAGAATCAGAAGCCCTTATGTTCACAGGCAATATAATAACTGACATTTATTAAATGTGTTCTATATGCCAAGCATTATACTGGAAAAAATAAAAGGTCCTTATGTTGGCTCTCAGAGCCTTACATGATGTGGCCCTCAATTTTCTTACTGAACCTTGTTTCCTATTACTCTCTCCTCACTTTGCTTCTTGATGTTCCTTGAACATGCAAGGCACCAGAGAGTACACGCACTGGATGTTCTTCATCCAAATATCTTCCTGGCTTACTCCTTCACCTCCAACAGGTCTTGGCTCAAATGTCATCTTCCTAATGAGGCTTAGTATAACCCTCCAATTAAATTTACTCCCTACTCCCTGTCGGTATGCTTTTATGCTACTCTAATCTGATGGTCTTATGCTACTCTAATCTCTTTTTTTCTCCACAGCACTCATGGCTTTCTTACACACTATGTCACTTGTTTATACATTACATGTATTGTTTATTACCTTCTCTTACTCTCCACCCAGAATTTCAACTCCATGAAGGCAGGGATCTTTGTCTGTTTGCTCACTGATACATTTCAAGTGCCTAAAACAGTTTCTTGTACATTGTCCATAGTCAACAGATATTGTTAACTCAATGAATAAACTTAACATGGCCTCAACGTCTTTTTTAACAGTGAACTCTAGCCCAGCTGGTGTAGCTCAGCAGTTGAGCATTGACCCAGGAACCAATAGATCACTGGTTTGATTCCTGGTCTGGGGTTGTGGGCTTGATCCCCTGTGCAGGAGGCAGCTGATTGATGATATTTCTCTCTCATGCCTGTTTCTATCTCTCTATACCTCTCTTCCTCTCTCTAAAATAAATAAATAAATAAATAAATAAATAAATAAATAAATAAATAAATTTAAACAAACAAAAACAATGAATTCTAGGAAATTAGTCCTAATTAGTTGATTATGGCCTGTAAGGTAAAATTTTTGCTATCCCTAACCTGGTATATGAAGTAATTGGTTAATGTTTTATTTTATTTTTTTAAATATATTTTTATTGATTTCAGAGAGGAAGGGAGAGGGAGAGAGAGATAGAAACATCAATGATGAGAGAAAACCATTGATCAGCTGTCTCCTGCACGCCACCAACTGGGGATTGAGCCCACAACCCAGGCATGGGCCTTTGACTAGAATCAAACCTGGGTCTCTTCAGTCCATAGGCCAACTGAGCCAAACCAGCTAGGGCTGGTCAGTGCTTTAAAACACTAAATAGTTCATACCTTGAAATTCCTCTGTAAGACATGTTGGTGTAGCTTGCATATCTCTTTGTTTATGTGTCTTTGAAGGAGCGGTACTTTAAAAGACCCTGAGATTGGATGAACATTGAGCCTTAGGAGTGTGGTTAGTGCAGAAGTCATGCTTGGTCTTCTGAGTGGTGGCAGAAGAATGTTGTCTCTATAGGTATGATGGAGCCTGACATGGGATCTGTTCCCAGACTTTCCAATAGATGTGTCTCCTCTCTCCAGGGCCCTAGCTCTGCCTTGATGATCAGTGATTACCTAGAGTTGGTTGCATGATGACACCCCTTCCCACTCCCCACCACACACACATAGATATTCTAATTCTATGAATCTTATTTGGAAAAAAGGACTTTTGAAGATGGATGAGATGATCCTGGATTATCTATCTAGGTGGCCCTAAATCCAGTAAGTGTCTTTATAAGAGAAAAGCAGAGATATTTGAGACAGACTGAAGAGGAGAAAACACAAAGAAGAGATAATGTGACCATTGTTCCCCAAAGAAGATAAGCGTTCCTGCCATTCATGGCATTACTGATTGATAGAAGGACTTTCTTTTCCTGACATTGACTCATAAACTATTATATGTCATTATGGTTTCCATCAGTTTATGTTGAGGATCCAAGCTGTCTGGGGAAAAACAATTAAACAACCTCGCTAGAAAATACATTTCTCTTTTTCAACTCATCCTTATAGAACACTTTCTACATAGTCTACTGTTCTGTACATTGACCACTGGGTCAGACGAACCTTTATATAAAGGGAGGCATCACACCAACTAGTTCTATGGGAAGCTCTCCCAGTTACCATTTCTGTGATTGTAGGGTGTTGCTGTAACTGACACTGTGCCTATCTCATGAAGCTTTTGTGAGGATTACATGACAAATACATGTAATGCACATGTCATGCATATGGCAACAAAATCCTAGATATTTCACTTCCATCACTTCCTCTACACTTGTAGTTTGAAAGAACCATTTTATGGTGTGAGGGGAAGTGAGGTGATTTTGGGTTGGGAGTCACAAGACTTAGGTTCTGTTCTCAGTTCTGTCAACTAACTGGCCATGTGCAATGCTCTTGAATTGCTTTGCCACTGGACCTCAGTCTGGCTCCCAGTGCCATGTTCTTTACTACGAGGTTCTAGTACATATTTGTAGTCCCACAGAATTAAAATATGTAATATTTCTTAGTCTATACAAAATTAAACTCCAATCTTTGACTCACCAAAGATCGACAGATTGTAAACATAAATCTCTGAGTTTGCTGTGGTTATTTGGGCACGGTAAACTCCACTGTCCTCCATTGTCAGGTTATTGATCTGCAAGGAATAGTACTGGATGACTTTCAGTCGATTTTTCCGCTGTGGGTCAGTATTCTGGATCTGTGGATCAGTATTCTGGGTCTGTGGTGGCTTTATCTGTATGAAGATGATAGCTGCTTCATTATGAAGCCAGGTGATGAACTGGATCTCTTCTTTTGCAGGAAACTTCAGGGGGAGAGTGACCGACTCCCCCAGCACCCCATTCACCAGCAATGGGGGTGCTTTGGTCTGTGAAACTGTGATTCCTATAAACACAGAAGGGAAACTGTTGAAATGGACTATCAAAAAGGCTCCACCCCAACAAAATGTATGGCACTCTTGGTTAATGGGCTAGGTCGGCAAACTGCGACTCATGGGCCACATGTGGCTCTTTGGCCCATTAAGTGTGGCTCTTCCACAAAAGACCATGGCCTGGGGGAGTCTATTTTGAAGAAGTGACGTTAGAAGAAGTTTAAGTTTAAAAAATTTGGCTCTCAAAAGAACTTTTTTTTTTTTTTTTTTTTTTAAAATATGTTTTATTGGTTTTGTACATAGAAGAAGGGAGAGAGAGAAAGAGAGTTAGAAACATCGATGAAAGAGAGTCATCGATCAGCTGCCTCTTGCAAACCCCCTACTGGGGATATGCCTGCAATCAAGGTACATGCCCTTGACCGGAATCGAACCCGGGACCTTTCAGTCCCCAACCCAACGCTCTATCCATTGAGCCAAACTGGTTTTGGCTCAAAAGAACTTTCAATCGTTGTACTGTTGATATTTGCTCTGTTGACTAATGAGTTTGCCAACCTCTGGCCCAGATAATCCTGACTCAGTTTACTCTCCCACACTGGCTGGTTATCCTCGGCCATACAAACTATCTGACTCCAGCCTCTGAGTTCTTTCTCTGGGCATAAGATAGAGGGAAACAAGGAACTACATCAACTCCCTGCCACAGATTCCAAATCCATAAGTGTTTGCTGATAATTTATAATTAAAACTCTACATACTGATGACCTACTATGTGTTCAATATAGCGGGCTTGTGAGATTTAGAGGATGAATAACCAGAATTTACAGTTCTTTTTATGCATTACTTCATTTGATGCCGTCAACAATTTCTGTGTGGTAGTTTGATGGATGCTATTATTTCAATGTATAACAAAACTGAGGCATGGAGTAGTTCACTAGTAATTTTCCCAGGGTTGCATAGCTAAAGGATGGGTCAGGATTCAAACTCAACTACTTTGACTCCAACTACTTTGTGCTCTTTTCAGGATACTAAAAGTCATCTTTTCTTCTCTCAAAAAGATTATACTTAGTAGAAGAGATACACATAAAAGTAATAAATATCATTTATAAGGAATATATAATGGCCATATTCTAATGAGCTTATCTCAGAACCATTAATGTTTGAGCCAAAAAGGTGAAATAGTCACAAAGATTCTTTTAAAAAATATATATATTTTACTGATTTCAGAGAAGAAGGGAGAGGGAGAAGGCACTAGAAACATCAATGAAGAGAAAGAATCATTGATCAGCTGTCTCTTGCATGCCCCCTCCTGGGGATTGAGCCTGCAACCTGGTCATGTGCCCTGACTGGGAATCGAACTGTGACCTTCTTGTTCATAGGTTAATTCTCAACCACTGAGCCCAACCAGCCAGGCACAAAGATTCTTAAAGAAGATGCTTCCTTAGCATCCTTTGCCAAATACTTAGATAAATACTTAAACAATTATTACACTCTTTTGTAGCCCTCTGTTTACTTGTTTGCCTAACCAATCATGCTTTAATTGTCTTTGCATTTCAGCACTGTGCCTGATATAAAGTAGTATCTGTTTGAGTGAATCAAACAATCAGTAATTATAACCATAACCTTAACCTTCTTGAGATCTCTTTCTTCTTAGGAGAGGATCTGAGTAGGGGAGGAACCCTGACACTCAGCTCCTGGGTGAGCTCTTTTTCCCCTAAATTGTCTTGTGGATGCCAGGCACTTGAACATTGCCGTCACCAGTACTACCTGCCTACCACACCTTTCCCATCAGCACTTTAGCATACTGTCATTTGCCATCTTAACTCTTCCCTCTTGAAACCATATGAGTAAACATCACAAGGAGAAATCTTGAGAGAAAACCCCCCAGATAGAAACAGGATACACGATATGATTCCATTTATTTTACAGTTAAAAAGCAGGCAAAACAAATCTCTGCTGTTTGAAGCCAAGATGGTAGTTATCTCTGAGGAGGTGGGAAGGAGCGAAAGGGAGAATTGCGGGAGGGGCTGGTAATGCTCTATTTCTTGGCCTGTGTCTGTATGCAAATGTATTCATTTTATACATTGAGATGATACTTAGGATTTGTACCCTTTTCTCTCTGTATGTTAAATTTAAAAAAAAATATATATATTTTATTGATTTTTCACAGAGAGGATGAGAGAGTCATCGATCAGCTGCCTCTTGCACACCCCCCACTGGGGATGTGCCTGCAACCAAGATACATGCCCTGGACCGGAATCGAACCCAGGACCTTTCAGTCCACAGGCTGTCGCTCTATCCACTGAGCCAAACCGGTTCCGGCTGTATGTTAAATTTTAGTAAAATATATTAAAACAACAAAAACAAAACAAAACAAAATAATGACAATGACGTATACAGACCAAAATGTTCCTGTTATTTTTCTCTATTCTATCGAATGTCCTGTAACTGTTCCCTGTGTGCACTTTGCTCAGGCTACGCTGGCTTGGCTATTCCTTGAGATGGTCAGGCCTGGTTCACTTGCAATCGTCTTTGCCTGGAATGCACTTCTCCCTGGTGTCCATGTGTCTCACTCTTTGTCTCCCTAGGTCTTTCATGCCCATAGTCCCTCTCAGACCTTCTGTGGCCACTCTTTCCTCATCATTAGCCCATACCCTATACACTCAGCTGCCTTTGAAATTGATTTTCTCCATCATACTTACTATCTAGCATACTTTATAATTTGTGTTTTTGGTTTTATAAATTCTTTTTTCCTTCCACTAGAGCAGTGGTCGACAAATTTCTTTTGAGAGCCAGATTTTTAAAAAATATATATATTTTATTGATTTTTCACAGAGAGGAAGAGGGATGGAGAGCTAGAAACATTGATCAGCTGCCTCCTGCATGCCCCCCACCACCCCACTGGGGATGTGCCTGCAACCAAGGTACATCACCTTGGGACCCTTGGCTACGCAGGCTGATGCTCTATCCACTGAGCCAAAACCATATTGTAGGTTTTGGCAAGAGAGCCAAATTTTTTAAACTTAAACTTCTTCTAACGCCACTTCTTCAAAATAGACTTGCCTAGGCCTTGGTATTTTGTGGAAGAGCCACACTCAAGGGGCCAAAGAGCCGCATGTGGCTCGCGAGCCATAGTTTGCCAACCACGGCAAGTAAGCTCGTTACTAGAGTAAGCTCCATGAAAGCAAGAATTTTTGTTTGTCTTGTCCATTGTTGTGAGCCTATGAACAGTGCTTGGTACACAATAAGTATTCAATGCATATTTGTTGAGTAGAAGGACACATCGTCATCCCTTCTTCTGGAGGTTCTCTGTCGAGAATATGAAAGACCAATTTCTTTTTGTAAGGAGTCTGGGTATAACCTTTGGCCTAAAGACTCCCCAGGAACTGTTCCTCCCTCACCCAACACATTCTTTAAGGTTCATTTGTTTTTATAGATAGCAATTATTCATTTATTTAACAAATCGTTCATTCTTGTATTTACTCAGTTCTATGCCAGGTTAGTGAGTAAAGCCTCAGAAATTATGGATTTCAGACCATATTTATTAGATTCCTTTTATGTACCAATTTCTGGCCTAAAGACTGGGAATACAAATATGGATAAGGCATACTGGTCCTCTGGGCTGTGCATGTGGTAGAGGAACCGGACTGGTAGACAGAAGTTATGGTGCAGTGAGTTATGCCTTGACCTAGCATAGAGCTTGCCTCCCCATTGTCCTCAAACCACTAATTGCACCCTGTGCATTCAATATCAAATACTTCTTTCTAGTTGTTATAATTGAGAGATTGTCATCCCCTTTCTTTCTTTTAAAAAAATCTTTATTGTTGAGAGTATTATAGATGTCCCTTCTTCTCCCCCTCTTTCCCCATAACCTCTTTCAGGCCTTCACCACCTCTGTTTTCCCCCTTTCTATTCTGTAATCTTGAGGTAAGAATTATGTTTGTTATTTTTATATTCTTAGCACTTAACACAATAAAAAAAATATTGATTCCAGAGAGTCTCCTGCATGCCCCCATCTGGGGATTGAGCCAAAATACAGGCATATGCTCTGACCAGAAATTGTACCATGTCTACCTGGTTCATAGGTCAATGCTCAACCACTGAGCCATGCTGGTTAATATTGATCTGATAGAGGTATGTGCTCCATGTGAGCACACATAGTGAGAATGGTGATCAGGAAGCGCTGGGGGTGTGCCAGCAAACATTCCACAGAGGAGGTACTTCAGTAGCAGGGTTTTGAATAAAAACAAGGTTCTCCATGATTTGATCATTTGTGATTCTTCTAAGAATGCCCTGCTTCTTCTTTGTTCTTTTGTTTTCTTTGCCTGAAACACTCTTTCCCACCTTTTCCAGGAAGTGAGCTCCTATCGATCCTTCAAGGATCAAATATCTCTTTCCCTCAGCTTATCTTTGTGGGAAGTTTGGTACAGGGTGTGAAGAAAAAAGTTTGTGGCGGGAGAATAGGAAAAGGGGGTAAGAGGAGAAGATGGTAGAATAGTTCTCTGTAGGTATAAGGGGGGGAGGGGGGGAAGATTTGAGCCACTATGCTTGGAGAAGGTAAAGGTTAGAAGTTACTGCAAATGTCCAAGAGGTCCTCTGTGAGACTTTAGCCACAAGTATAGCTGCTTTGGGGTGGGGCACAGGTGATGTGGTGTGTCCCAGAGGGCACAAGGAGGCCCTTTCCTCTGCCTGTAACCAGCACTGATGCTTTGGGAATGTCCTGGGCCAGGATCCTTGTTGTGGATATTGATGTCCTTGGAGTAAGCAGGACAATGACGTTTACTCTGAGTGGCTCTGCTGGCAGCAGGTATGAAGGGCTAGAACCAGAAGAGAAGGTTGCACATTGGAAAGACACCTTCTGACTGTACCTGAATGCTGCTTAGGTGGCCTTTGGGGACCCTCGTAAGTCCCTGAGGGATCACTTAGAGAGTGAGGGTGATGCAGAGGTCCTGCCAATTTTCTGGTGAGGATGTCAAGTCAGCAGACCTTTGGGGTATGTTTGTTGACATGTTTTATTCAT